TATATATATATATTGATCAGGATGTTTAGTGTGTTGAGAAATTCGAATTGATAGCAAATTTCTCAACACTGAACATACTAGACTTACACCTGCTAAACTGCATCTTCCGTTTTAGTTCTACGGGGTGATGTGCGTGGTCTACGTCATCTACGCTGTTGCGTGGCTCGGCATCTCTGCCTGGCAATGGAAGGACCTGCTCAGAATTCAGTTCTGGATTGGTGGGGTCATCGCACTCGGTAAGGTCATAACAGCATGTGATATGATATGTGATTTTAGAATCAGAGCGTGTCTAAGCAGCCATAGAGAGCATGCCTCATTCTCTCAGCAGAGTGGAGGTCAGAAGTTTATGTGTGCATTTAACTTTACCTTGATTCTATTTACTAAGGCCATGGAAATCGATCACTTGAATAAAATAAGTAACACTACTTATAATTCAGTTGATCCATTGAATGCTTGTTTGCTTTTCTGCAGGTCTGCTTGAGAAAGCAATTTTTTATGCTGAGTATAGAAATATCAACAGCAGAGGTTATTCTAGTAAGTTGAGCTGAAATTGTTTTATGTGACAAAAATGTTTTATTCTTAAAAGTGTCTTAATTACTCTTAGGGGCATTCTTGTTTCCCTACCATACAGAGCACCATTGCTCTGCTACGTTCGAAAGGATGTTATTTGTTTCTTGCTCATTCCGAAAATGATGCTGAGTGTGGCGGGGTATGCGCGTTTGTGTGCGTGCGTGCGTGCGTGCGGGAGTGCGGGAGTGCATGCGTGCATGCATGAAAGGAGGTGTGAAACACTAGGTGTTAAGAGTGAGCATTTATTTGACAGTTTATGGAGCTGTCGTGTTTGCTGAACTGGTCTCGGTGCTGAAGCGCACTATGTCGCGAATGCTGGTCATCATTGTCAGTCTTGGATTCGGCATCGTCAAGTGAGTATCACGCACAACCCTTTGCGCCATTGGCTGTAGTCAATATGTGCAACGTTAATTGTTATTGCTACAAAATAGGGCCATGTCCGGATGTGATGATCGCTAGCAGAAAAGAGCAGAATATTGTCTGGGCAATTTAGGTCGTAATTCAACCATCATTATGCAGTGTTTAACCTTTTGGATTCTGGGCTATAATGTGAATTAATCTAGTCCAATTTCCAGGAAGTGGATTACCTAGTCTTAAATGTAGGACTTCTGTACAATAGATGAAAACTCCGCTATCTTGCTAATTTGGCCATATTTTTACTAAGCAGAATATGCTCACGTACAAGTCTGGCTATTGTTAGGTTATTGTATTTGCAGGCCAAGACTCGGGCAAACGCTGCACAGGGTGTTGGGGGTTGGTGCATTGTATTTTGTACTTGGATCAATAGAAGCCTGCATGAGAGCCGTTAGGGTAAGTGAAAAGTGAATTATAATTATATTTATATTTTTATATAATTACCTGTAAATGCCGGTCAAATGCTCATCTGCAACACACAAGTATACCGCACGCACGCCCCGTGCACAAACAACAACAAGAAAATAACTTCTTTTCTTCTTGTTCTTCTTCCTTTTCTTTCTTTCTTCTTCTTGTTCTTCTTTTCATTCTTTTCTTCTGCTTGTTTGTGCACAGGGCGTGCGTCCGGTGTACTTGTGTGTTGCAGATGAGCATTTGATCGGCATTCACAGGTAATTATCGGCAATAATAGGCGAAATAGAGTCGAGAAACATTAAGACTTTGGTAGTAAATACATTTCGTGTTTATTAACAGTATTTTTTTATTGAGACGTTCCAAGTGACTGTGATATGTGCAGTACCCTTTTAGCGGCTCAACGACGCAAGCAGTGAGTTTGCTCACTCACCGCCCACGGACTCCGTCTAGCCGGCGAAATTAGTCTGCGTGCACTGCATCATTTATTA